AATTTGAAAAATGAATGAAAAGGGGTGGTTGATTTGTAAATAGTTTCATTGCCCTTTTTTGTGTAAAAGTGATTATAAAATTATGATAAAAAAATAAAAAAAATTATCGTTGGTATCATAAATATTTTTTTAAAAAATAAATTAGGCATTAATTTTCTTAATACCTATCATAATAATAAAGGGAAATTTACATATGTTGCACATAATTCATGTATTTACATCTAACACCTAAATTTTTGTATTTGCATATATAATATTTTGGTGTTTTGAATTCCTGCGTGAAAAGATGTATTTTACATTAAAAAAAATGGAAATAATATTAATTTTGATAATGATATTAAATATTTGAGTGTTATTTGTGCAAGTTTTGAAGCTTGGAGGTTAGATATGTAAATACATAAGAATCTGTGCTATGTAGGTTTTAACTTGAAAAAAATAGCTTATCATCACTATAAACAATAATTAAATAAAATTGTGGTGGCAATTTCATAATTAAATAAAATAGGTTTTAATCTTTCATATCACATAAAAAAAAAATACCATCATTTTAACTTTTAGAAATTGAAATGCCCCATTTCATACAAGGGAAAGGTGGCATGCATGTACGTTAAAATTGAAGTTTAGATGTTAGATATGTAAAAACAAAGGAATTGAGTGGTATGTGTAGATCTTTCCTAGTTTTAAATATATGCCCAACACTCTATAAATGGCAAGAAGGCTAAAAATAGGTCAAATGTAAATTCCAGTGTGTAAATTAAATCAATAAAAATTCCAGTATATAAAAGAATATATATTTGTATACATTTGTCATAATCAACATTTGGAGTCCAAAAACAAGGCAGGGAAGCCAACATAGGCAGCTAATACATGATAAAAATAAAAATAAAAATGATATTTCATCAGAATTCGGATCGGTTGAATGAAAGAGGGATAACTTAAGAGGAACAATGTGTATTTTGATAAATTTAAATGCGAGAGAAGCTGGACATTTTCTTCAGACTGGGAGATTCAGACATTGTTGGCCTGCTGGAATTATTAAGGGCCGTTTCCTTCTGCTTCCCTCAAAGCACCAACAAATAGATCCTTCAGATGGCCGTTTGATGCAGCCACTCTCCTTGACATGATGTCAAAATCCCCTCCATGCCTATTTGAAAAATTCCCAAAAATGAAAATGAAAAATGAAAAATGGCATTTACATGCCTGCCACACAATTCTTGTTTATTTACATATTTAATACTTTCATATTTACATTCATAACATTCAAATCATTAACATCGCATCAAAATTACCACTTCACTAACTTTCTAAAAGTCAAATGCACCATTTATGCTTTAGTTTATAGCACCAAGGTGCTGTAAATGTAAAAACTAAACTTTAGGTGTTAGATATGTAAATCCATAACAATTGTGTGGTACGAATGTAAATTTCCCAAATGAAAATATATTTGATTCATGCACTATTTTAATCATTTGTACATGCATATATGACTGTCAACCACGTGTTGTTCTGGTGTAAATTGGACTTACGGGTCGAAAATGAGTCCTCCGGCTTCTTGAAGAATGATAGCCCCGCCGGCAACATCCCTATAAAAGCAAAATCTTACTGAGTCGCTTAACGCATAGGCACGTGAAGTTTAGAAAATCCGAACCAAATAAAATAAGGGCATTTATATACACCACCAAATTCCTACGTATTTACAGATTCAACATCTAAACATTTTTACATTTATATCACCCAAATCTTTCATATTACATAAAAAATATCACTATTTTAACTTTGAATACAGCTCTTCGTTATGCAAAAATTGAAGTTTAAGTGTTAGATATGTAAATCCATAGGAAAAAAGTGGGATGTAGGTAAATATTTCAAAAAATAATGAATGTGCAACATACCAAGGACCGCCAAACCCGAGTTCATAGAAGATGTCAATCCTACCACAAGCAACACTACAAAGGTTCAATGCACAGGAGCCATCCATCCTAAGGGATCTCACCTGGTAAATGCCAATTTATGAAAAAACATTTCACAGACTCAAATTATATTTTCTATAAATAGAGTTTTTGAGTGTGATCAACCTTAAAGAGGAGGCTGTTGATTCTGTTTGTTGTAGCATCTACAGTGGGCTTATCACGTGTTGTTCCAACCTGCTCCAATATTTTCATTAGAATCACAAAATAATCAAACAAAATAACCAAAATTTAAAGGCTATTTCATTATAAATTTTAAATGATAAATAGTTTTTTGAACAGGACAAGATGCTTGATTATGTGCAGAATCAACGATTTATTTAAAGGCCTGATAGTGATGATCTTGTAAGATTGCACAGACTTTATCCTAGGGGAGACATTTAAAATAATAACACTGCACACATGTCCATATATTTCTTACCCTACAATGTACCTTTTCCCCTTCAAATTATTTTTCTTTATGGATCCACTTTATGTATAAGATAAGATTGTTAGTGGACATTCCTAAACTAGACAGTATATAAGTCCAGAATTATATATTCTCTACTACAATGAGAAGATAACTGAGCTTTTTTGGTCAGAAAATCAAGTTGAAAATCCTATTTTTCATATTTTGTGCTCAGCATTGAGATGTCTGAACTTGCTTGATTTCCACGATTAAATTGTAAGCACATACTTCTCCTTTTGATATCTTCTCCATCACACGGAGATGTTCAGCTTTTTGATCTCATGTGATTAAGTTGCAAGTCCTATGTTTTATACCTTTCACATCTTTCACATCCTTTTGATACATTCTCTATTATGATGAGAAGATATTTGAGCCCTTAATCATATAAGATTGAGCTCTTTTTTTACATAAATATGTTTTACATGCAATTAAGCTATAAGTCATGTCTTCCATACCTTTTGTTTCTCCTTTAATACATTAAGAAGACTTTTGGGCTTCTTGATCTCAGTCCCATTGAACTTTATTGTTCTTTAATCGAATTAAGGAGATATTTAAGCTTGCTGATCTCTTATGGTCAAAGCTACAAGTCTTATTATAGGTATCATCTTCGCCACATGAAGAATGCACATTTTTTTACTACCATTCCCTCCTAGAGTATAGATAGGCTTGTCA